AATCTTTCGTAATCGGCAGCCATTTACCTCTGTTGTTTTTTTGAACAATTTTTTTAACTTCATTTTCATCATCAATGTTTTGCGTTCACCTTTTGTAGTTGGTGCTTAAAGGTGTCCAAATACTGAATATAATCATTAGTTATTAATGTTCTAGGAGAATCTTTTTTTTTCTTTGTTTCCTTCATTATTTAAGATGTGCTAATAGGTGGAAAAAACCCAAAAAATAATACCCCATGTCAATCTATGTTTTTTTTTTTTACATTAAACTAAATATCCAAAAAAATGTTTATTCTTCATAAATTAAACACAACTTTTTCTATTTTTTCATTTATGACTTGTTTGATGTTTAGATTCTAATTTTAGTGTTGTCGTTAAAATTTCAACTTTTCTTCGTAGTCTTTTTGCAATGCCCTGGACTGCAAAGTATTAGGTGGGGTTTTGCATATACGGCAGTTTAAAAAGCACGTGAGATGATAAGGATGAAGGGACTGGTAAGGTAGAAGTTAGAAGGAGCTAACCAAATTAGTGTCATACCCGAAAATCGGGTTTATTGTAGAAGAAAATTTAATATCTTCTGGCCACAAATACGCTTCAATATGCGCTTATTTATTATTCCTTTAATTAAGTGTTCTTTTTCTACAACTGATTATCCGATGATTAGTTAGGATGTCAGTTTAGTTCAGCTTAGTTTTGTTTGTCGCTTAATTATCATCAATAAATGTGACACTTTTTTCTTCATGAAATATCGTTGTTATCAGTGCCGATATTAAACAACTGCATTTATCCAGCTGTTAATCTGTTTTAATTGCTTTTTTCTTCAGCGTTTCCAAAACGGTATGCTGTATTTTAAAGTTTTTTGAGCATATTACCAATTATAACTGCATATTTCTTTAAAATTAACTTGTTTTTTTATTTTTGTTTTGGTTACTCTTTGACAATTTCTGCATTTAAACTGTCTTAAAACATTGATTACTGTAAGATTTATTGCTTAACTCAATGTGAAAGCCAAAAAGGCACCATTTATAAAGTTATCTGTTGATTTTAAAGCCTAAATCTTCAGAATGTAACCAACATTCAACATTTTGATTACAGTTTGACAATGATTCATCAAGTTTCCAAACTACGGAGCAAATTCATAACATACATAACAGATATATTCTTTAAGCAATAAGGAAATGCGTTGGCAGTCCGTTTATTTTTTAATATTTTTTTTTTTATTTTTCCTTCTCAACTTTTTTTCCCTCTTTGATCGCAGTTCATCGTTGCATCGGCGTTAGATACTGCTTAATGTAATCTGGTTACTTTTTAAATCAGTAGTATTTCAAACACGACGACGAAAGTAAACGGATAGACCAGAGCGCGATGGTTTTTTTCGTTTCAGAATCAGCACAGTTTATTCTGCGCAAATGGTACTATGAGTTAAAGCCTCTTTCGAACAAAAAAAAAAAAAAAAAAAAAAAAA